AATGAGCTGCCAGATCAATGTCCTACTGTGGTTTTGGGGGGCGGGTCTCAGGGCCTGCTGTAAGGATTAAATCAAACCTGCAGGTGACCTGGGATGGACCCCTGTGACCCCATCCTCTTCCTGGGGACCTGATGTCCCTGGTCCCTCCAGTCCTCTGTGAGCCCAAAAGGAGCAGCAGGATTAGAAGGCCCCTGTGAAAGGCTGGAACTTGAGGTCCAGCAGCCAGGATATACTGGTTCTCTCCAGGGTCCCTGCTTGTGCTGTGGCACTTCCTCCTGTCTTAGTCATTTTCTCATAGGTGGGAAAAAATATCTGACACCCACAACATAAAGTAGAAGAGGTTTATTTTGGCTCAGGGTTTTTAGAGGATTCAGTCCACAGTTGGCTGGCTCCAAGACAGGAAGGGCATGGTGGAGAGGTCTGGTGAAGGAATACTGCTCAGGGAATGGTGGCCAGGAAGCAGAACAAAAAGGGAGGAGCCAGGGAAGAAGACACCCTTCCAGGTCACTCCGCCACTGACTGACTCTTCCAGCCAGACCCCATCTCCTAACAATGCATTTAGCTATGAACTCATTAATGGCTCAGTCCACTGAATAGAGAGCACCAATGATCTGATCACCTCTCAAAAGCTCCACCTCTGAATGCACAAGGCTTTGGGGGGCCATTTCAGATGGAAACCACAACACCTGCTGATATTCATCTCCTGGTTTCATGTTTCCTTCTTCCTGAGGAAGCTGGGTGCTGCTTATAGAATTTATGGTTACGGCCCTCCTCCTAGCATCCCTCTTTGCTTTGTTATGTCTTTGCCATCAGATGGGGCAGAAGACTGCAAGGTCCTCCCAGAGTTACTAGCTAAGAGACTGAATTTCTAATTGTAAGAGCTCAAAGGAGACTAGCAAAACCAGTGAGGTCTAAAGGTTGGTGGATTTTCTGTGGAGCTACTTTGTGCCCAGTCTACCCATGTGTTCCTGGATGAGGATTCTGTTTTAGGGGTGACATCCTGACCCAGGCTCCTTCCCTTATGTGGCCTTGACATTTCCAGCTCATGCCTCCCAAGCGGCCTTGGATACTCCAATGCCCTGAGGCATCTTCCAGGGTGCACCAGTGGGATGGCTGGGTCCTTCCTTTGGCTCAGTTTGATACAACTGCACCTCTCTGTCCTAGTATCTGTGCAGCAGACTCAGGCTCAGGCCTCCTCCAGCCTTCCCTGGGGCTCTGCCAGAGGCCACACCCATCTCAGTGTTTCCCTGAGAAAGGAGAGAGCTGTCAGCTGCCCGAAGTGTGGGGTCCTGAGAACCAAAGCTCAAGACTCCTGTGGGACACGAAGGGTGTGAAGGGCAGTGGCCTGCCCAGGAGTTGTCGGATCCTTCTCAGGACAGCAGGACCCAAGTCTGCAATTGCCAGTGTTGGTTGTTGTTGTTATTGTTGTTGTTGAAAAAGATCAAAATAACCAAGTGAATTGAAAAAATGGCTACAATCTCCAGAATCCCAAACCAGCCCTAAAAGTGAGAGAATTCCAAATATGGACCCACACAGCAGTCCAGGAAATTTGCTGGTGAAGGAACAAGACGCAAAATCACACTTGCAGAAGGGACTCCATCCAAATCCTGGGAGAATGCGCCCAGCCCCAACCCTTTCCGGGAGTGGGCCTTTCACAAACAGAGGGGATCTAGCCTTTCTTCTTCCTTCCTTCAGCCTTTCCACTGTTTTCTCCTTTAATTTGTTTTTGTTAAAACAAGCATGTGTAACCTAGAATTTTTAAACAGACAGCTCTCATGGATCTCTGACCGTCCGGCTGGTGCCCGGGGTCTCCCTCCCCCCACTGTCCCCTGAAGTGACTGCTCCTTCCTGCTTCTTTCTCTCCGGACATATACACTGGGGTCCCAGGCTGCAGTCTGCCCTCCAGCCCCCCCCCCCCCACGGGCCTCATTTCCTCTGCTTATTCACCCTACAGTGTCCTCTTCAGGTGCATAGCTCTGCTTCCTGGACCACTTCGAGGCACCTGTAAGCCGGTCCTGGTTGTGTGTGTGTGTGTGTGTGCGCGCGCGCGCGCACATGATTGCATGTGTGAAAGTGTGCATGTGTGTTTCTCTGTGAGAGTGTATGTTTGCCATCAAAGGAAATCTTATGTTGGCTGCTAAAATTTAGAAATGCTCAAAGAAAAACAGTATCTTAACAAAAGAACAAAGGCTAAAAAAAGTCCCATAATGCTGGGCGTGGTGGTCCATGCCTGTAATCCCAGCACTCAGGAGGCAGAAGCAGGAAGATTGCCCTGAGTTCGAGGCCAGCCTGGGCTACATAATGAGTTCAGGGCCAACCTGAATTACAAAGTGATCTCAACAATAATATTTTAGAGATTATAATATTATCAAACTGTCTGAAGAACAGTTGCAGCACCATTTATGAAGGGGTGTTGGGCAACAGTTAATATTTAAATTTTAAAAATTTATGATAGTAAAAGACACATTGCCATGAATCCCCTTCAAAATCCTCCCTGTTGCTTCAGACACATTTATCCTACTGTCCTTTCTACTTCCTGCAGTAGCTCTGGCGTCCTCTTTCATGAGTGTCTTTAGTTGTGGAGTCTTGGCTGCCTGATGTTCTGAATCAGTTCAAAACATGTACCTTTCATGGTCATTTTGACTTTGGGGAAAAGCCAGAAATCACACGATACCAGATCCAGTGAATAAGGTGGATGAGGACACAGCATCAAGTTCTTGCGAGCCTACCTTTCTGTTAGATGGCGCTCAGCAGCAACATTCATTGGGTTTTTTTTTTATCACATCCTGTAAAGATTTTCAAAAAGAGGACTTCCAGAACTGCTTCAGAATGTGGTAAGAACTATGGGATAAGTGTGGCAGAAGCTTTTAAGAGGATTAATGGCAATGTGTCTTTTAGCGTAACAAATCAAAAGCACTTTTAAAAACATAAAAGATAAAAGCAGGTTGGGAAAACTGAGCCAAAGCTGCAGGATTGCTGTACTCTCCCACTGTGAACTTCCTCGTTCTTGGGGACCAATTGACCCAGGGGACTCTCGATATCTCCAGGACTCTATGGCCTGAGTGGAGCAGCAGGAACAATCGTCCCCTAGGGGTGAGAGGACTCACACCTGACATCTGCCAGTACTGGCCTTTTCTTAGCATGTTGCTTTTTCCCTTGGGGACACAGGGGACAGCCCATGTTCCTGAGCTCAGTCCTCCATCACAGAAGAGAATCTCCTTTAGACAGAAGGGACAGGTTTCCAATCCTGTGCCCAAGTCTTTGGTGTCTTCTTGTAGAACCTGGGAGTCTGGTGTGTGTGGTTCAGGTCTGTACCTAATCGTGGCTCCTTCTCAATTTCTAAGCAAAGAGAAATATAGTGATTTAACGAAGGTATAAGTAGTGTATACTGTCTTAATCAAATTATAAAAGTTAACATAAAAAATAGTGGCACAAGCTAATCTCATGGGCCTCCAGATATGGCAGACAGAAGGGAACACATTATTTCTGCAGCTTTTTGTTAATAGGCATAACCTGAATCCAACCCTAAAGAAATACCAGACAAACCTGACTTGAAGGACAAACCAGCTGTCCCAGAATCTTCCAAACTCTGAAGGTCAAGAATGACTATGAAAGACAGGAATTGCTTCAGAATAAAGAAGAGTCATAAGATGCAGTAACCAAATGCTATGAGTGATTTTGGCTTAGATCCTGGACCTGGGGGAAAACAGTCATAGATGGCACAGTCTGGAAAATTGGCCAGATTTGAATATTGAGGCTCAAGTAAGTGTTGTGTCAATGCTAAGTCTGAATTTTGGTAATCATGCTATGGCCAGAAAATATTGACCTACTTAAAGGTCACAGCCAAGGGACTTAATCGTTTCAATTTATGTCAAAATAAATTTACCAAAAATTCCTCACCCATATCCCTTCCTGCCATTGTAACCAGTCTATGGCTCCTGGTGGGTCTCCCTCATTGTCTTGCCAGTAGTGTTCTTAAGGGAAACCACAGCTGGCAAAACTACTAATACCCTGTTCGGGTCTAAATCTGCAGTCGCCTGGCATTGTCTGCATGGTTTCTCCACAGCCTGCCAGGCACTATGAAGAGTTCTCTACTGACTGAAGGTTTGGAATCCTTCTCCAGTCAAGTTTGTCTTTCTATGTGCTGACCCTGTTCCACCTTCTTTCTGCCCCACATAATGTCTGAATGGTATCAGGCCCTGAATAACTTCTGACCCTCCAGCCCCTGGTAGCCTCTGTGCAAAGCTCTGTCTCCATATTACGCACTCTTTGTAGTTTAACGCCCCCAACATTTGTTTTCTTCTATGGTTCTGCAGGCCTGGAGAACAAAATCAAGGCGCATGCAGAGCCGTGCTCTGTCCAAAGGCTCTAGGGCACCCTTGCATTCCTTGGCTTCAGGCTTCATCACTCCAGTCTCCCCCTCCATCTTCATATGGTGTCTCTTCTCTGTCTGCTCTTTCTTCTCCTTAAGGTAGCAGTCATGTGATATAAACCCAATCCCACTCCATTGCGCTCTCATCTAGATCCTTAACTACAAACACCCCCAAGTCCTATTTCCAGATCAGGTCTCATTCACAGGTTCTAGCCAGCATGCACTTCTGGGACAGAGGGCGAACTCTGTTCTGGATGCTGCCGCTTTGACCCCTTGGAGTGTGCCCAGGTTACAGGAAAACTCCACCTTAACATTGCCTCTCCCGCAGATTCCACATTTGACCTCTGCACAGGGCTTTCCCTATCTACTCACCTCTTAAAATTCCCCTCTCTCTATCCCTTGTTGACCTCCTTTTTCTTTCTGCCATATCCCATGGAGGTAGGCATGCTCCTTCCATACCCAGTCCCGCTTCTCGGACCTAGGCATGTTAAAAGTGTCCCGCATCCCTATTCCACTTGTGATTTCTACACAGGGTCCCCACCCAGGGATGCTCTGCATGTAACTCAGAACCACTGAATTTTCCTGTTGAACTTCATTCCAGTTATTTTGGCACTAAGAGAAAGAAAAGTTAATTACTTGCATATTTTATTGACTGAAAAAATCCAGACTGTGTATTTTGAGTCCTGATCAATTAGGACTCCTTGCCTAAAGGAACCAAATTAATGATTTCCTTGGCTTTCAAGTTGTGAGGAAATTCTGGCCAGCTTTCTTCTTTTACCTCTGCAAAGCCCAGACTTTATGAAAACAATAATGACGACAATAATGACTTTGGCTCTTGGTAATCGACAGACTTCTGCTCTGTACTTGGTCTCAGAAGAGGTCTTTTATCCACATGGTATGGGTTGGGAAGGTTGCTCTGTGTCCTCAAACACAGATACAGAAACTCCTACTGCTCTGGTCTGTGGCTGGACTCACATGTGTTTGTAGTCTGGGCATAGGCAAGACAGTTCCTGCTTTTACCTTTGAAAGGGCAGAAAGAAAACTCCAGGATGTCACAAAACAAAACCAAAGATCCATCTTGCCCAGCGAGCTCCTTTCTTCCCTCTTTAGCTTCTCTTCATTTCCTTCTGTTTCTATATACAAGGAAAATTACAAACAACAAGGCTGTAAACAGGTGTACTAGAGCCCACCTGTAATCTCAGCTCTCTGGGAGGCTGAGGCAATAGGATTACCAGTTCTAGCCCAGCTTGGGGAACTTGGCAATTTGTCTAGACCCTGTCTCAAAACAAAAACAAAAACAAAAAATCGTAATGTAGCTTAGTGCAAAGATCTTGGGTTCAATTCCCAGTACCACAAAACAAAAACAAAAATCAACACAAAAAACTGGTAGTAGAGCATGCAGAAAATAGCTCAGGCATCAGAATAAGATATGTCCTATGCTGATTCCACTCTTGCCACTAGTCGAATCCTGACTTTGGGTAATTCCCTCCACCTCTCTGAGCTTCAGCTCACTCACCTGTGACAGCAACTCAAAGGTAAGGTGCAGGGTTGAAGAGATGAGTATGTCAGGTGTCCCGCAGGAGAGGTCTCTTGGGATTCAGGGGTAGCCAACTCCCTCTACTCACTTTCTTGGGACACTGATTTTGGAAAAGGATCAATGTCAGTAACAAAGCCAGTATGGACATCACAGAAATCCTAGACCAACGCATGGCTCGCTATCTGGCCATGCTGTGAGGGGAGAACTTCACCTTACAGTCCAGCCAGGCTTTCCTGTCAGCGTGGCCTCCTGGAGCCTCAACTCTTTTCTGTGCCTGGACTTACCTTCCCCAAATGAGCAGTTGTGTCTGCCCTCCCACGCCACCACCGGAAAGATCTGTTGAAAATAATTTCCCAGCGAATCCTGAAAGATGCTGAGCAAACACTACCAAAGCACTTCTCAGGAAAATACCAATAAAGAAGACTGTTTTCGGTTACTGAGATCCCCAACCAGGGGAGATTAAACAGTTCTTGGGCAGTGTACCTTATACAACCATCTCATCACAAGCCTGCAGCTGGCATCTCATCCAGCAGTGAACCAACATCTGAAATACCTTCTCCTCAATCCCCTTCATCTGAGAATAAACACTCCTAATGCAAGTCCCAAGAGGAGGGAAGAAAGAATTTGTTTTTCCAGTTTCTCTAAATGATCTTTCCTGAAATAAAGGGCCCGCCTCTAGGCACCTTCCTTATAGTACTCCAGCCCCATATCACCATTGCCACTGCCTTTGGGAAGGTCCCTGGGTCCAGGGATGCAGGACACTGCCCCTGGCAGGGCGCATGAGTAGCAGGACTTTTGAGCTCAAATTTACTAGGTACTCGTGACCCTTTGGGAGAGCTCATGCATTACGCCTCAACAAGAGAGACGTACCCCTGAACTCTGAAGTCCTGTCCTACAAAGCGGAAAGCTTATAACAGATCAAACGTTTTTATTTTGTTATTTCAAAACCTAGAGCCAATATTTCCAAGACTGTCTCAAAACACTGCTTCGAATCAACATCAGTTACTCACTGTATGAAGAAGAGCCATGCAGTCATGATTGTCCTTTTAGCCAGAGGAGTATTTGCTGGCAGTAATACAAACAGAATCCGACAGCCAGATCCTGAGCAGAGACAGAGCAACGCACTGAAGATAAGAAATGGTTTTCCCTTTGCCATGCTGAACCCTGAGAAACTCGGTTTAAAGTTTTACCAGGAGCCTCTGCCACCATGTAGCAAACAAATATATGTATATAAACAAAGTAAATAGAAAAGTACATGGAAAATTCATCAAAGACTTATATTTTTTCTTATTACATAAGTAATACATATGGTTTTTGTGGTAAATATGGAAAATAAAAATACAGCATGCAGAAAAACAAATAAAAACCACCTAGCTATGCTACCAAAGATAACTGTTTTCTGGTGCGTATTTTCCTTAAAAAATTTTTTTTTCTATAAAATTGTGTTTATGTTCTATTCATAGTTGTCTCATGCTTTTTCATTTAATCTTATCATATATTTATGTTATAGTGTACAAATAGCCAAGGAGCAGCCATTGCAAGCATAATATTTCCTCAATATCTAGTTTTATCTAAAATATTTATTTGAAGTTTGCATTTTGGCTGGAGGTGTAGCACAGTGATACAGCATTTGCCTACACAGCCAAGGTCCTGGATTCCATTTAAAGTTCTAAGAACAGAGAGAAGGTGAGCCAGTCCCAGCACCCAGAAGGAGGCTCCCCTGCAGCCATACCACGCTCCTAGGGCAGAGAAGGTGAGCCGCTTGGGCACCAGAAGCACTCCCCCACACCCGTGGAAATGAGAAGACACGTAAACAAACCTCAAAAACAGACTTCCAGATCACCTACAGCAACCCCGAAAGGAAACAAGATGGAACAATCTGATACTCAACCACATGGAATCTCTGAACTGGCAACAAAAGAGGATCTGGGAAAAATGAAATCAGAAATAATTACTCAGATAACAGCAAAGATTTTGCTCATGATGCAAGACGTGATTAATAAATCTAGAGAGGACACAGATAAAAAAAAAATAGAAGATCTGAGGAACATGATGGAATCCCAACATAGGAAACAAATGGAATCCATAAAACAGAT